CCAGTCCTTGGCAAACTCTCCATGCTCATCGAGTAGACAGAAAAGCAGAGCCAGTGTGCTCTAGTGAGTTCTGCTCTGGCTTGTCACTGCATGTGATATGAGTCTCGGATTCCTTATCTGTGATACCATGATGTCATCAGCCTCATAAGCTGGGTGACTTTACTACTATTCACACATGCTAGCACCGATTACCTGGCTATTCGGACAAGCACATGAAATGAAGACAATTGGTACACCGTGCATGTTCCCTGATGTGTGTGTGGTGGGGGGAGACAAGGGAGTTAGATCTTTGTGTTGCCATGCAGAATGAGTGAGACAGCAAGGTAGGAAGTTTTAGAGCCAAGGTGGTCTAACCCAGACAACTGGAGTGAGTCAGTTTCATGTCTCAGCCTCGGTTTCTTCTGAGGCAGGATAGCCCAGATAGATCATTGTCATGGTCTTTTGACACCTAATCTAAAAATACTTAGTGATGATGAAATTAGTAGAAACTCTGAACCATCTCACTTCCAGGCCTAGGACGCACTGGCACAATAAAATTGTTAGAACACTGAAATATTTTTATATATTTCTGTGCCTCCAATAAATAGCCCCTGCCCTGAGTCTCACCAGTACCCAGCTCCCAACCCCCTGGCCACCCTTGGATTTCGGCAATCAGAGAGACCTGACACAGCTGGCACTGGGCTCCTGCAGGGCCCTGCTCCAGCAAGAGAGCTGGTTGATTGGTCCTGGCCTAGGCCACTACCCATGCTTCACGGATCATGCTAAGGCCCATTCTAATGCACCGGGCTTCATCAGCAGCAAAGAGAACCCCCACTGTATGCCCAGCACCACTTAAAAACCTCTGTGATTACAAGATGAGTTCACATCCTAATGTGACTGCCCTGTGCCGAAATTTTGATCAATAAGATAACAACTGAAAAAAAGCACAAAGGAGTTTGAGACAATGCACTTTTGATTCATTTCTATAAGATCTGGTGAACATATTTATCTATCTCCCATAAAATAGGTGTCAAGTGGAATTCTTATACTATTGTGGGGAGATGTCTAACATATGACAAGCAAAATGCAGATGTGTGTATAAATTAAAACATACACAAAGTAATGCATTTTGTAAATGTATATATATGTAGTCTATATGTATGTGTACATATCCATATAGGTAGAATTATAAAAATAAACTGATTACTGGCCACTGGTACAGTATTGGCATGTAGTGGAGATGGCTGCTAATTTGGCAGTCTGTACAGTATAAGTCTGTTGGAGAGAGACCTATGGGGAAAGGGCAGGGTTGCAGACAGAAAGACACAGAGAGGTAGTGATACAGAGGGAAAAACTACAGCAACCAGGCATAGCAGTGCACTACTGTAATTCCAGCTACTAAGGAGGCTGAGGCAGGAGGATCACAAGTTTGAGGCCAGTCTAGGCAATTCTGCAAGACCCTGTCTCAAAAATTTGAAAGGGCTGAAGTTGTAGCTCAGTAGTAGAGAGCATATCTTAGCAAGCATAAGAACGTGGATTCAAATTTCAGTACCATAGATACATATGTACATCCTTCCATACATACATACACACATCCTAAAACAAGTGAAGAGGTGGATGCATGCTGAACTCAGGCTAATGGCTTCTGTGGAGACCAGGATGGGAATAGGACCAGAGGTGATGGTTAAATTGGTTTTAATTGTATTAGTCATGTTTTATCTCTTCTAAGAATAAAACACTAGATGTAAATTTAAAATAACAGTAGCAGTTGCTTATTCTAAATGGCAAGAGTATGAGTGTGCATATTTCTACATTTTTCATTTCTTGAAAGGAAGCGAGGTTCACAGTAGCAGGTTCCCCATATCTACAGTGTCTCTGGCCCTCAGAGATGGAGGTAGGAATTATTTATGTGCTTTCTCCCATCCTCCCTACCCAACTTCCCACTTCTCAGACATCTTGGATTTCCAAATTAGCCCTAACCATCCCATTGCTAGTGCATAATCTGTGCTTCTGATAATTAAAACTAAAGCTCCTTCATTTCTAAGTTCAACAATCATTTGTCAAACACAATACAAAGTTTCAGGCATCCTGGGATGAGTGATCCCTGGTTTCTGCCATACAATGCTCCTGGTCTAAGAGGACAGAGAGATGATATGGGAGCAAAAAAATTGAAAATTCATGGGAATTTCTGTCCTACAAAGGCATTTTTACTACACACTGTGTAGGACAAAAGGGAGTTTGGGGAAGTCGTGGGAAGGCAATCCCTCATAAAGGAAAATATAAGGCACCTATAAACATTTATATGTAAAGAAAAGAACAAGGCAATGGCACCCAAGGAGCCCTCTTACATGCCAATGTTATGGTTTGGATCTGAAATGTTTCCCAAAGGCTCATATGCTGAAGACTTGGTTGCCAGCCTATGAGATAGTGGAACCTTTAAGAGGTGGAGCCTAGTGGAAGGAAGTGAGGTCACTAGGGGCATGCCCTTGAAGGAGATATAGGAACTCTGACCACTTCCTGTCTCTCTCTTAGCTTCCTAGCCTCCATGAGGTGAGCAGACCTCCTCTGCCACATGCTTCCATCACTTATTGTACTGCCACAAGCCCAAAGGCAAGGGACCAAACAACCATGGACAGAAACCTCTGGAGCCATGAGCCAAAAGAAACTTTTCCTTATAAGTTGACTTTCTCAGGTATTTTGTCACCGTAACAAGAAGCTAACATAAAAAGCCAATTACCCTACATATCAATGCTCACAGCCACCAAATTAGGTAAGCAGTATGATCCCAATTTTAAAGTTGAGGAATCAGAGGCTCCAAGAAGGAAAGTAATCCAGCTGAACCCAAAGAGCAATTACAGACTCCCACCCAAATATGAAAAATCGAAGCTGAGAAGGGGGTGGTTGTGAAGAGATAGGGTTTGCCTAAGGCAGACTGGGGAGACTTCTGGTACCCATGTCATCATCCTTTTTCCTGGACTGTGGTGCTCACTAGCAATGAAAGACCAAGAGTATATACAGCCTGAGGCATTTGCTTATATATTCTAATGAGATTTAAATACAGTCTAGTTTAATAAAGATCAGTGAGCTGCAGGCTTAATTCTAAATAGTCAGGCTTACACTTGTTCCATCTCATCTTACCTCCAACTCTAGCGTAACTTCTATAAGTCGCCTGATTTTGAACAGGGGAAATTTCACTTCCACCTACATGAACATGCTCTCCTGGCCCAATCAGAGCCAAGAAAAGCAGCTCAGCCTGGGAAAGGGGAGCAGAGGCTGGGAGAGACTCTGAGGACAGCTGAGGAGAGGCACTGCTCAGGGTGCCGCCTAATCCATCCGACATGGGGACACACTGTTCCAGAAACAAGATGACAATTAATAGGAAAAATCTGCTCTCACAGCACTGCCAAGCATGTTGCAGGGTCTTAGCTGGTGCTGCATCTCCTCAGGAGAAGAGCAATAATGCCCTATTCTTCTCTTTGGTCAACCTCTTGACATTTCTCCTATATGAGTAGGAAGAGCTAGGAAGGTCCTTGCCATGGTAGGAAAACACTGCAAACATAATAATCCCCACCCTCAAAGCCATGAGCCCAAGGAATACCCTAAGATTGAAGGCTTGGAGCTCATTAAGTGGTCATTTCATCCAAACCTACAGTTTGACACATGGCAGATAAAACATCTCTAGTCAAGGTGCCTAACAGTGGTGTGATTCTACTTGCCATCAAACTTCTATTTCTTCTTTATAATTTGCCTGTACATGCATTTCTCTTGATCAGAATATTTCTGATGATCCAAGAAAGCCTGGCTGGCCTCATTATGACTTATCCAGGTTCATCAAAAGCAGAAAGTTCAGAAACTTCCTGGCAAATCGTCCAGTCTGGCCTCATAGTTTCTGTCCTTCTTTTCTTCTCCACGTATCTTCCTAGGTATTAGTGTTCTTAACATTGTAGGAAGGCACAAAATCTTTTGAGAATATAATAAAAGTTAGGCGCTAGTTCCATTCTACATATGAACACTCAACCCTTGCCATGTACAAACACTCAAGCATTTGCATAGAAGTTCAGGAGATACTATCCCTGTGAATGCTATTCATTCCTCTCCTGCAGTCCCAGAACCCTAAGGTCAGGACTACTATCACCTCCTGTGTAGACGGCAGCTCCTGAGTAGAAACCATAGAAGTTCATCTTTCCAGATCTCACAGTCTTGCTAGCAAACACCAGCCTGAATCTCATCTAATTAATCTTTCACTTTCCCTCCATACACAATGCTACCCAATATCAGACATACATGGAAACCTCAGCTGGGAGCATAACTTGAGATTCAAATTTCCCTTCTGGAACTGATACCCAGGCTCCCTAGAGCCATTTGGTCACATCCATCTCTGGGACCAAGTAGATGGATGCTAATTCACCATGTTAACCCCTTTTATGCCAGCCTTTTTACCCCGCCTTGGCCTTGTGCCACATCCTACCACCACACCCTCTGCCATAATGAGGTTGAATATTCTGTGTTGTGGAAGCTAGCCAGCAGATTTAGAAATCATGTTGCTCTTGGCGTCCATTCTGGGACTTTGTGTAGAGCTACGTGCTGAGGTACCATGGCACAGGCAGTTTTTCAATACCAAAGCTCCCAACCCCATATCCAGCTGTGTTAACTCCTTCCCTGACTCCAAAGACGTGCGCAGACGAGAGAAAAATCAAGTCATTCAAACCAGGACTTCTTTTACCAACCAGTAAAGAAATCCAAGTCCTCACATGGCCTCAAATCCAACTTCCTTTCCAAATCATCCTGATCACACAACCCCATCTGAGCAGTGGTTATCAGCAGCTACAGTAAAACCATGAGGTCCACAGTTGGTTCCCACTGATCCAACATGGGCTTCCATCCATAATGACCAAGAACAAGGCTACAGACAGGAATCTCCATCAGGACTACTTGGGCCCCACGACCAGAGGCTCTCCCAGAGAGCACAGAAGGTAGAAATAACACCCTTGGCACCCTTGGGACTGAATATCCCACCTTACCCTTCATTCCAAATTTGGACCGTCGGCCATACTTGTTGATCATGATAAAGAGAACCACCAGCAGAACGCAGGCAAAAGCAGCAAGTCCAACTGCTATGGATACCTGTTAGGAATCAAATCCAGATGGTCAGGGACAGTCATGGAAACCCTAATGCTCTGCAATAACTTATGAGCCCAGAGAAGAACAGTCTTCCCCCAGTAGCAAGTACAGCCCCTCAGAATTTTGCTATGGAGTTAGTGAGGTCTTTGGAAGAAACAATTTATGAGGCCCTAAGAAAAATTTTAAACTGTTTTGCATTTAAAAACATAAACTGCCCAACTTGATTAGAGAAAGTTCCATAATGTAATGTTCTGAGCCGTTCTCACCTGGAGGCCGTTCTACAGACACAAAATCAAACCTTCTATTGTTTTAATTAGCAAGCAAATTCTGCATCTTTACCTTGAAATTTTTTGCATAAAATTCCTATCCTGGACGCTCTAAAAGATCTGGACTCTGAAGACTTCTTTCTTCTCCTCCCCAGGGATATCTCAGGTTATGCATGAGTAGGGTTTGAAAAAGCCACCCTAGGAGATGCCCTGAGCAACTTGGACTTTTACAGATGGCTTGTACCATAAGCAGACCCTGTGAATCAGCCCCAGCCTAACAGACTGAGGATTTCAGACTGTTTTCTTCCAAACCCCAGGGCTTGGAAATGATCCTCCAAGGCTTTCCCAAACAAAGAGCTATTCCCATCAAACAAGGAAGGTTTGAACTGCCTAAAAGGGGGTCATCCATCATTCTTTTTTTTTTCCTGCCTTAGGTACTTAGGCTCCAAGTAAGACAATATTTGGAAAAGTCAGCAACTCTAATGAAGTCTGAAAATGACTATACCAGTAAACGTGCTCCTTTGACCAAGAAGTGACTTACCCCAAAAGTGTCTTCCTCAGGTTTGTGAGTCACAGTGATAGGAGGTGTAGGGCTCACATCAGATTCTGGAAAACAAACACAAAAGAGAAGGGAAGTTAGCTTTCTAGCCATGAGAGGCCCAGCCAGAGTCCCTGCTTAGCCTCCAGGTCCCCTGACACTTCCCGATGGGGAAGGTACTCTGGGAGGTTCCCACAGCCTGCCCTCCCAGGGCTACAGGGGTCCCCAGAGGCCAGGTGGCTGGTGCTGCAGCTCAAGGTCAGACACCATAAAGTATAAAGGGCCTTCACTGCCCTCTTCCTACCCCCACCCCATAACCTGGACAATGTACACCATGAGCAATGGGACAGTAAAGAGGAAAATGGCTTGGGACCCCGGCCAGGGTCTGGATTAGGCACATTTTACCAGTGATAGCAGCTGTTGCTGGAATTCTGTTACTACTAGCCAGGGGCATTCCTTTTCCTCTCTGCCATGCCCACACCCTTCCTTTTGCCCTCTTTACTTCACAGTGTGGTACAATCCTGTGGACTCAAGAACAACCCAGTATCCATTTCTCTAACACTGATTTCAGAATACAGCAGTAGCTCCAAAGGAATGAGAGAACCGCCTTACCAGGATCACCACCCATACCCAGTAAGGTCTAGGTGAGAAGCCAAGTCTCGGCTTATCCTCCATCCAGATCACCTTGGGGAGAAATGGCCCTAAATTCAGAATTCTCTGAAAGGACATCTGTGAGATTACAAGTTCCCTAAGACCAAGAACAACTAAAAGAGCCACTGAAGATATTTGCATCAATCCTAAACATCTGGGGGTGTCCCTAAACAGGACTGGTTTGCTATCTTGACCCAGACATTAAGCAGAATGATATCAATTGCTGCTGTTATTACCATTTTCCCACGGAGAAGAGAAGGGAATAAATACAGGTTTCCCACAACCCACTAGCAAAATCCCAAATCCTTTTGGGACTGTCTAGATGTAGCCCCAAGTCACTTATAGTTTGAGCCTCAAGATTCCATTTCAGGATACATAAGCCTATCAGAAGATCTTGCAAATCACAACTTTACACAACATGGGTTATAGCCAAACTCTTGGTTTCCTAAAGCAGGTAAGAAAGACGAGCAGATATATAGGCTCCAGATTTTCTCTGCAAGAGCAACTGAGATGATTCAATAAGGGTCTACAGAGGCACATGAAGCCTTTTTCCTGTCTCTGCCCCTTTTCATCAGGTGGAGAGACCCAAACCATGGTCACACCATAGAAAACTCCCTAGGGGAAACTAAGGTACAGCATGATTGCCAAATAAAAACAGTCTTGGAACTGTCCAACTAGAACCACGTGTATACTCTCTAGCGCCTTTCCACAGTTTACTCAGACACCCCCAGCTGCCATGGAGCTGGGAATAATATGGTATAGGAAAGGGGCTGATTGAATTCAATAGTGACCTAAAGTATCAGAATAAATCAGTTTCAAACCGAAAGGTAAAGCAGACTTACCAAAGACAACGATATCTGTGCTCTCTGCAAAAATAAGGACAAAAATGTAATTAACAAATGCAGTAAATGGCAAAACAGACACACTACATTATCCTAATGGGTATAGCCTCTCCCACTTAGCATGATCCCCTGTCCTCGAAGCAAGTGACACACTCAAGTTCTTGTCATATCATCCGTTCCCCCATGCTCCACTAGCTCTTTAGGGGGTGGTCCTCCAAATGGAGAAGGAAGGAGAGACAAAGCTTCTGGTTTCAAAGGAGGTGGCCCACCTGGGAACTGGAAACCAAACTAGTTTCATGATGAGATGGGGAATTAAATCCTGATCTACAGTCTGGTTCACAACTCTCTCTCCTTCAGGACCCAGAGTGCTAAGGATGGTGGTGTAGGTTGCGGCAAGCTATGATCTCAAAGATGGGAATCCACAAATCAGTATTTACAGTTGATTCTAGTAGGTCACTGAGAAGTCCTTGGGAATCCCTCTAGAATCTGCCCATTCTCCAGGTGGAAATGTGTTATATGAACTCTGGCCTCTAGAAATGACTCGGCAAATTATAAAAGCTAATTCTTAACTAGACATTGATTATGACCTAAACCCAGCTGTGTAACATCATTCCATCCTTATAGCCATGCTAAGAGCTTGGTAGCATCATCCCCATTTAAAACAACTGAGGAAACAAGATTACAGAATTAAGTAACTAATTGAATGCCCTTCACCTAAGAAGATATTAGAGCTATATTCAAATTCAAGACCAGGCTTTAAAACTCTACAAAAGATGCTCAAATGTAAGCATTCAATGGAATCATCTTGACGGTAATCACTACCATTCTCCAATAATAGGAAAGAGATTTCTTGAAGACATTGATAATTTCAGGGCTGGCACAAGGAAAATACAAGATGTTCCCAGAATACCTTATGGCACCAGAAAGTAATGATTAAAGATTGTTGGAGACCTAAAGAGAAGAAATAGGAGCCAACGTAAAGGGCTCCCAATGACACATCATCCCTTCCCCTGCACTGCCTCTTTAGGGCTGGTCCCTAAAGTGGGATAATTTGAGCAACAACATAATATGATTAAGATTGTTATAAACTGAATCATGGCTCCAAAAATCCATAGATTGAAGTTTTAACCTCCAGTACCTCAGATTGTAACTGTTATTTGGAGACAGGGCCTTCAATTAGGTACTTAAGTTAAAATTGGGTTATTAGAGTGGCCCTGATCCAATATGACTAGTGTCCTGATAAGATTAGGGCACAGACAAACACACAGGAAGACCATGGAGGACACAAGGAGAAGACAACATCTTCTCCGATGAAATCAACCCTGCCAACACTTGGTCCCAGATTTCTGTTGTTTAAGCCACCAGGTCTATAGTATTTTACATGGCAATCCTAGAAATGAATCACATGAATTATTAAATAAAATCCATGACTCCATGCTGATACAGATATATAAATGAATACACAAGTGGAGGAAGAAAGAAAAGTTCTTCCTTACGTAAATTTCAAACTAATAAATGTAGAAGGAATGGTAGAAATAGAAAAATTACCATTTGGCAAGTACAACAGTCGTAATTGTTTCAGGCAGAAATCCTCAATGAATGTTAAAATTAGTGCATGAAAGAATCATGAGAAACAAGCTATTTACATAACTTCAAATTATTATTCTGATTAATTGCACAGGGAAAAAGTCATTTTGTAAAGGAGAAACCTGGCAGACACAGTCTTGACCAAGTGACAAAGTCACCGTCACCAGTGGTAGACATATGGACATCAAGCACTCCCCCATAGGACAGACCCAATGGGTAGAGCATCCCTACTGTGACGTTGCCAAAATCCATAAGCAGAATTTAATTGTGAAAAATAAATCAGACAAATCTATACCGAGGGAGTCTACAAAATAACTAGTGCGAATTCTTCAAAAGTGTCAAGATCATGAAAGACAAAGACTGATGAATTATCCCAGATTTAAAGAGACTAAGTGATGTGGCAGCTAAATACAATGTGTAATCCTGATTCAGATCCGAGACAACAAAAGGATGTCAATGGGACAGGTGATGACGCGAGCCAAGACTGTTGTGAGATAATAGTGGTGTGCCAATGTTCACATCCTCCTTTGGATCACTGTGCTGTGTCTTGGTAGGATGCTGACATCTGGGGAAGCTGGGAAAGGGTGGAAGGAAGTTCTTTGTACTACTTTATAACTTTGCTTTTGTAACACCCAAACTATTTCAAAATGAAAGGTTAAACGTCCTTCAAAATTAAAGAGAGGCTGGGGATGTAGCTCAGTAGAGCACTTGTCTCAAATACACCTGAGAAAAAGAAAAGACTAGTGGGCCTCACCTCAGAGTTTTTGAGTCTGGGTGGGTCACAAGAATCTGTATTTCTTTTTTCTTTTTAGTTATGTTATGTTATTTATTATTTTGTGTGGTGCTGGAGATCAAACCCACAACCTCACACAAGCATTCTACCACAGAACTGTACCCCAGCCCTGATAATTCACATTTCTCATGGGTTCTCTGTTGATGCAGCTGCTACCACTGGTCCCTTTGGAGACATTACACTATACCACCTCCTCCTGCCACAAGCCTACCACACCCACTGGAGTCTTCCCCTTTCCAGGTGTTTGTTAAGAACTCACAGCCACTATGATTGTAGCTCTGCTAAGTGTGAACCAGCAGATTTTCTTCTCTAACTACCTGTGGGGACAAGGATGCTTTCTGGAAAGGAGCCTTTCAGAAAAGATCCTGTTCACAGTAAATGCATAGTAAATATCGCTTGGGCTCTTGTTTGTTGCCTGTTCTGTGTTGCTGTGGGAAAAGCAAGAGGGTTTTCTCCAAATTCCTGAGCACACCTGTCATGTCATCCCCTCTCCTCACCTGCAGGTACCCAATGTCTGATGTAGGGGGAAGGAGGAGCTGAGGATGCTCTAGGCTTGGCCTCAGAGCCAGAACCCAGCCCGGAGCCAGTTCCCATTCGCAGAATCCACTAATTTGCATATGTGCCCGAAGGCTCCCATTTATTAGAGAACAGTCTTACATCAGCCAAATGTTTTGGCCCAGTCTCAGACTGTGAACCCTGTAATCCCCAAATCAGCCCGTAAATGTTAAAACCCTTTGCTGGAGCTTGGAAACATTTACATCCAAGAAGCACATGAGCTTTGGAAGTGAAGTGATCTTGGCTGCTCTCTATCTTGGGGCAGGTACTTGGGTGTCCACATAGGAAGAGGACAGTACTGGGAGTGCTCCTCCCCATGGACCCCACAGCAGGCTGAACTAGCAGTGGACCAGCATGTCAAGCACCACCTAAGTATAAACCAGGCTGTGCCCTGAACAGAAGGTTCATGTCTGCTACAATCTCAGACCACAGCTCCTCCAGAAAGGCCTGTCAGGAGGATTCATCTTCGCCACAGTCTTCAAGATAGAAGTAGGGAGATTAAATAATTTGCATGAGGTCACACAGCTGACAAGTGATGGAATAAGAATTTGAACCCTGGCAAAGGGGCTCTATAACCACTAGCCTAGAAACTATGTTAGAGCTTACTACCTTGACCTGAAAATGACTACTGGTTCTAAAACTCCCAGATTCATCTCAACTCAGCATCCACAAATTCCTCACAACCAACAGCCATTAAGCCTTCCCTCTATCCACACACACTGCTAAGCACCTGCTATATCTTACTTCATTTCATTTCCATAGCAACTTGGGCAGGAGCTGTTGGGATCACCCTCATTTCTCAGGTGAAGAAATGAAGATATAGTGTAGTGACTGTCCTTCCCTGAGCCTTGACCATGCACCAAGCCTCATGCTAGGAGCCCAGACCACCTATCTGTCAGGGAGGACCACATGTGGGATTTGCACCTATGTCTTCCTGACTTCAGAATCCTTTCCCTAAACCTGGCTTTGTAGCCAATGAGAGCTTTAGCTTAGAAGGTTATGCTGTATCCCTACCTGCTCTCCCAGATGAACTGCTCTTCTGAACACTTAGACATCTTGGCACTTGACATGATAGGCCCATCTCTTTCCTGTCACTGCCTTTCCATCATCCACTGATTCCTTTAACACCAAAGTACATAAAGCCAACACAGTTTCGCCCAACGTGACCCTGGCAGGGCATGGACAGGTCTGAGAAAAAGTGAACTACTCTCTCTCTTCATGCCTCTCTGTGACTATCCTCCCTCCTTCCTTCCAAGGCCAGATTCCTGCCAAATGCCATGGAAACAGGTTGCAAAAGGAGGGAATATCAGAGTCACCTGGAGGCCTGATGAAGCAGAGCTACAAGACTGGCCCCAGTGTCTCTGACTCCTCAGAATCAAGGAGAGTTTCAGAATAGGAGTTCTAACTCATTCCCAGGCGACACTGATACTCGTGGTATAAGAACCACTTCTTGAGAACCACTGGCCCAAGCAGCTTGATAGTTAACCATGATGTAGAGGCATCCAGAACTGTGAAAGGAGCTGTTGCACCTCATGGGGACCAAGGATACATTCACATGGCTCGGAAGATGCAGAGAACTGCTTTCTCCCAGAAAGGGAGGGAGAGACAAAAAATCTGAGTCCATCATCCCATCCAACTGCTTCTAGTACCCTGAGCTCTCAGGACACTCTCTGGGGGAAGGAGCCCAGAGTGGATCACCGCCCTTCCTTTTGGGCATTCTGGGGCTCCCTGCTCTCTCCAAGCCCCAGTAGTTTCCCTTTAGAAACAGAAGTACTGTTGCATGGGATTTCACTCTTCATCCATCAGGGTGTTTAGACTCTCCTCCTTACAAACAGAATTCAGGAGCTACGGGTATGGTACAGTGCTTGCCTCGCATGTGCAAGGACCTAGGTCCAATCCCCAGCACCACAAAAAATGTAAAATAAAAAAATAAGAACAGAATTAATACTCTAGTCGATAGGTGGGCAGAGAGGCGCAAGGGGCCATGCTAGCCTTTTATGTCAATAAGACCTTGCCCAATTTTGTGGCCTATTACAGCAAATTCTCCACACACCTGGAAGCCACTGCTTCCTCACTACAGGCCAGGACTCTTCTCCTGGCCAACAGAGAGCCCAGCCCAGTGTGGAAGTGTCCTGAGGTCTCTTAATGGGCATACTGGGCATGGTGTTGGAAACCTCAGAGCATAGGAGATTGACAGGGTCTCAAACATCAGCACGTTCTCAACACTCTCCTGAGACAAAACTCCATCATTCCCTGGACCTCAGGAGCAAAAATCTGGATTCACGTGCAGCCTCTAAGGTGCATGGTTATTTGCAAGCTGTGTAGTCACCTTTGTCCAGACAGATGCTGCAAAGTGCTCGCTTTCGCTGCCTCCCCAATGAGTGTGTGCATATGCATGTGTGTGATACACGTCATACTTCTCTTCATCCCATTAGAAGCCCTGTTTCTGGGGATTGGAGGTCAAAAGTCACCCAGACTGTTCCCAGCACAAATCACCACCTTATAAGCTGAAGAACCCATCAAGAGATGCTATAAATGACCATTTTCACTACTAAGCTCAAGTGGTGTTTACTTCTCCTTCAGCTTCAGGAAGGTACTTAGAATGTCCTAGTGGAGACTCAGAGAAAGATGGAGTCACCTATCCAAATTCCTAAGCTCTATTACTTAGGTGATTCTCTCTGTCACCAGAGGTTGGCAGCATCAGGCACCACCCCATTAGCCCACCACAGAACAAGAGAGGAAAGAGCCACCACCCTTGTCTGTGACCGATCAGAGGAATGAGGTCCAGGTCACTCATTTGTTAAATGTGGGGTTGAACTGGATGGACTCTGAAGTCTCTTACAATGGAAGGTCATGGAACTATCACCATGTACCAACCCTGTGACTCAAGCTTTATATGGCTTAACTCATTTAAAAGCCATAAGACTCTTAGGGCAGCTGTATAATGAAGCCCATTTCATAGATGAGGAAATAAAGGTTTAGAAAAACTATCAGGCTGGAGGTCTTCCACTAAGTAAAAGCTAGGCCAAAACTCCACTATGTTTTTGGTCTCTGATGGCCCTGCTCTCTCTGCTGGAACACAGTATGCACTCAAATGCATGACTGTATTTCTAGGGGTCATGGGATTTGCAGTGACATCTATTGGAAAATGGAAACTTTATCCTAGTTTACACAAAATGAAGATGGTGGCTGCATGTCTCCATGTGGATGTAGCTACTGTGATCACACTGAGTGTGAGCCCCACTTCTCTCCAGCCACCACACCCCACCCCAGTTCCCAGATGCCCTCACCTGGGAACGGCTCCTTCAGGAAGTGGCCCCTGATGGTCTGGTTGGCTGTGCCCAGAGGGTTCTTGGCAATGAGGGTGTAGTTGCCATTGTTGTAGTGTGTGGGCTTGTTGAAGAGCAGGCAGCCCTCGGCCAGCTCACCCTCCTGATAGTACTCCACGTGGATGATCTTGGACTCCCGCAGTGGCTGCCCATTATGCAGCCAGTGCAGCGTGGGTGGCGGGTTGCCCCGCACCACGAACTCGATGCAGTGCTCCAGGCGCAGCTCGGGCTCCTCCAGGCTAACCACACGCGGAGGGTCTGTGGGGACAGGCCAGCTGGAGTCTGGGACGCTGTGGTAGGAAGCCCAAGTCTTCCCTGCCCAGCTCAGAAAAGCCCCAGGGAAGCAGAGGTCCCACCCAGCACCCTGCCAGAGGAACAGAGACGCCTGTCTTCACCCAAACTTCCTGGATCTGCCTTTACTCAACAGTTCCCTCTGGGGAGACCATCTTAGAAGATGCAATTGCAAGAGAAGCTTACAGCCTTGGAGGGGAAAGGACCCCCTTTCTTGGGGTTGCTCTCCAAGAACTGACTTCTCAGTCCAGCCCTATGGGATCCTCTGTGCCCCTGCTGGTAGAACGGGATCAGTGCCCCAGCCCCAGTCCTCTCAGTCCCCTGCACCAGCCTGGCACCCAGCAACCCCCGTGGTGGCACACACTTACAGTAGACAGTGAGGGCAACGCTGGCATTGCTCATGCCCACCACGTTCTCTGCAATACACGTCAGGGTGAAGCCATTGTCCTCACTTGTCACGTTCACCAGTGTCAAGTTGATGGCGTGGACGTTGGTCCAGTTCAGATTTGTCTGAAAACCCCAACAAAAAGACAACAATGAAACTGTTTCTGTGAGAGAAGCTCCCCTGCATGACCCCCAAACACCTTTAGGAATCAAGAGGGAAGCAGACCAGAAGGAGGAAATCTCTCTAGAGAAAGCACACAGACCAAATGGCGGTCTCTTCATAGTCCACAGTTCAGGTAATTTTCACATCAACACCATGATGGGAATGGTAACATTATACCCATTTTACAGATGGGGAAATGAAGGCAAAGAGAGACTGAGTAGCATACATAAGGTCGAAATGGCTTGAAAATATTAGAGCTGTGTGAAATCCAACTCTCTGTGCTTCTTCCTATTGGAACAGGATCACAAATGCTCCCTCATGTTTACGACTCAAGTGATCACTCCTCAGCCTCCTGAGGGGACCCTGGCCCTAGGATGCCCACCTGGTGGGTGTTGATAGACTGCAGCCCAGTGACTATCCAATCCACATCAGGCAGGGGTGATCCAGACCCATTGCAAGTGATAACAGCATTGTCGCCCTCTCGTACAGTCAGGTTGACGTGGCTCACACTGATCTCAGGAAGGTCTGGGAGAAGGGGTAAGAGGACAAGAAGGGTAAAATGACAGACAAAAGCTCCCCAAAAGAAGATCTGTCGTTGGCTGATGGTGGCACTTCATTTATTATTCATTCATTCACTTCAATACTGGGGACTGAACCCAGAGCCTTCACACTGAGTTACATCTCAGACTTTTTAATTTTATTTTAAGACAGGGTATTAGTAAGTTGCCCAGGCTGCGTTCAAACTTGCAATCCTGCTTCAGCCTCCTCAGTAGCTTGGATTATAGGTGTGGCCCACCACACCTGGCTTGCCGTCTAACAATGCCAACACAACTTGCTTGAGCTCTTCTTCGAAGACCTATAAACCCCAGATGCTTCCCACACCCCCCTCAGAAGACATGAGGCCTGAGGATGGAACCCCAAACTTGGAAGCTCCTTCAGGGCAGAGTGTGAGTGGGGCAGCTGCTCAGGAATGCAGCAAACAAACATCTACCAACGAAGCCCAGTGGTTCCATCCCACTTTGGTTCTCACAAAATCAATATGTTTCAGGCTTCCACAAGTTGCTTGCTAGAAATTCAGATTTCCAGGACCCATCCTAGACATCTGAATCCAAAGATCTGTGGCTGGGGCCAGAAATTTGCTTTTCTAAAAGCTCCTTAGAAGCTCCCGATGCAGGAGTCCAGAAATCACTTTCTGAGACAATCCGGGTGTGGGTAACAGGCGACTCACAGAGAGAAAGGGAATCTGATCTGCTAAGAAAGGTATGGGCTGGGGATTTAGCTCAGTGGTTCTGCCGCCTGTCTCGCAAGAACAAGGTCCCAAGTTTGATCCCCGGTACCACAAAAAAAAAAAAAAAAAAGAAGGGTATGCAGTACTTCCGGCTATGTTCCTGAACTGGCCTTGCTGTGGCAGGCTCAGGAATAGGCATGACCAAGAAGCCTAAGGTGAGTCAGATGTGCACCCGACTGAGGAGGTCAAGGCTAGGGCAGTTGGGGGGAAGCAGCTCCACTTCTGTGGGCAGCGTCTCCCTGGAGCCAGAGGGGTAGGGGCAGGCCGAACACTCACCACATTGACTGATGTTCATGCGGAAGAGGGGGAGCTGGGAGCCATCTGCATTGATGCAATAGAGGCTCTGGCTGTTCAGCCTGGCCTCCCCCTGCTCCTGCCACAGCTGCATCCAGCGGATGTCACAGCTGCAGTTGAAGAAGTTCTGCTCCAGTCTCCTGTGGGCAAAAAGAGAGGGGAAGGAACCCCTGAACGGAAGATGGCCCAGCTCCCTCCCAGGGCTGTGAGGTCAACAAACCCCCACCTGCTCCACAGGGATGAAGGTGAGAGGGGTTAAGAAAGGTCATGGAGGAAGGAAAATTATACAACAGTGAATTTGTTTACTTTTAAAAAGAATAAACTCATTTTAAAACCAAAATCCATCTCACTTAATGCACCTGGCATATGGACCAGATTGGAAAGCTCCTCCTCCCCAAACCCTCAGGTGGCTTCCCATTTCATCAAAAGTCAACGCTAAAGTACTGCATAACCTGTACCATCCTCTATCTTCCCTCTGACCTTCTCTCCTTCACTCTGCTGACCCTCTTCAGCTATCTGACCTTCTATCTCCAAGTTCACTAACATGACAGGCTCATGCCTGCCTCAGGACCTTTATACTCCCAGTCCCTTTGGATTTTCAAGCTCTTACCCAACATATCTGCAAGACCTACTCCCCTTCTTTCACTAAGGAATCATAGGGTCTCCTCTGATCACCCTCTATACAAAAGCCACTACGTTCCCTTGTCCTGGTAAGACCCAGCCCCTCACCCTGCTATATTTCTTCTTTCTAGAATTTGTCATCACTCAGCATTTAGTTTGTTCATCTGACTCCCCAAATAAAAGTTAAGCTGCACTGAGGTCATAGACATACCCTATTTGCTTCATTGCTATAGTCCCAGTACTAAAACTGAGACTGGCTCATAAATTTTTGTTGAATGCAAGAGGGAGAACAAGCAAGAGTAAGAGAAGGAGCTTCTCCCCAGGGGAGCAGGTGGTTAGCTATTTCCAAGACTTATTCACAGCCCATTTGGGACCACCCTTATTCCTTTGGGAATTCAATGGATCCTCAGTAAGCACCTGTTCCCTCTCTGGCAATGGGTTGAGTGCTGTTAATCTAGAGATGAATAAGACAGCCCCTGTCCTCCAGGAGCATTCAGCCTTGTGAAGAGGAATGTCTGAAGGGGGAAGAATCAAGTTCAAAGCCCTTCTCCTCCACGCATTTTCCTTATAACTTAAAGGAAGTCATGTTCCTCCTTGATGGGGTTATTAGGAAAAGGGTGAACAGCATTAATCAATCCAAAATCTCTTAAAGTAAAGAGTACCTGGTAAATCTGAATGCCTGGATCATTAAGGGAAACATGATTCTCTCTCCGGACTGTTAAGGGGATCGATTGGTTGGTACCAAGAGGGAGGGCACTTGGATCATTGCACTAAGACCCTGGATATTTTTGACAACTGGCAAATTCCAAAATAGTTAAGCCTGCATCAGCACTAATCTGATTTCAAGAAAATGTGAGGGCCCTGGGGACAGGAATCAGCGAGTTTTAGGCACAAGGACATCTTAGGTAGAAAGTACAAATGCCCCTACATAATAATATCATCTTCTTGGTCCAAAAGTTCCCAAGACTTCTCTCTGCATGTGGTGCTTTCAGAAAAGGTGAAGGAAGAGAACTAGCCTTTACTGAGCATCTGCTTCCCATGCCAGTCCCAAGAGACATACAGTCCCATGCAGATGAGGGAATCACATTCAAGGCCCCCTGGCTGGCGTTTATCAGTGCAGTTTTAAACTCTGGTCTCTTGGACTCCAACGCCCATATGCTGTCCACCCATTTGACCTGGGCAACGTGTTGCAGGTTGCAATGGAGATGCAAAGAGAACTGAGACAGGACCCCGGACTTTGGGGGCTCATGGAGGCAGAGACTGGAGGGAAGAGCTGGAGGAAAGTGGCAAAAACTGAAGTGTGGAACAGGGAAGCAAGGTTCAGCCTACATAGAGAGTCTATATCAAGGGGAAAAAGCTGGAAGGGTGAGTGGGATCCAGATGGTAAAGAACTTTCACTGCCACATCAGGAAGTCTGCAATTGGTCTAGGAGGCAGTGGGAAACCAGTGAGGTCCTTAGAATAAGCTGGGGAACACTGTGAATTTAGTAGCTCCGTAAGAAAAGCAAATCAACAATGGTGTACAGGATAAACCAGTGAGATGGAGAGCTAGAGACAAGGAGGCCAATTAGGATGCCTCATAAACACATAGGGCCACCATGTACAGCTGTGTAGTTTGGGCATTTCTCAAAGAGCTCAGCCAAAGCAAATAGGGACATCTTTTCTAACACAGAGAGTAATTATAGAGGCTGGTAGGGTCTAGGCCACCGTTCTCAAACTTTTAGGGTCAGGACTCATTCATCTTTACAAATTTCTTGAGGACCTCACAAAGCTCTTCTTTATGTGATTTATATTTTTCACTATTTACCATATTAGAAATTAAAAATGAGAAAAATTTAAAACACTACACTACATTAGCATAAATTTCATGAGTCACCAGGACCATGATGTCATCACACGCCATGTGTCTCTAGAAAACTCCACTGTACCCTCATAAGTGTAGAAAAGGAAAATGATATCTGAGTGTTGTCACAAAAACAGATTCTGCTTATGTTCTCCCTGAGAGGGTATTGGGAACCCTCAAGTGACCCTGGACCACCATTTGAGAACTGCTACCCACTAAATAAGGTCATAGAGTAGGCTAGTAGGAACTGGGGAGAAGGAGGGGGAAGATCTAAGAAACATCACAAAGAAACACAAGATATGACTGCATTTTGTTGGAGGCAGAAGAAACAGTGGACGATGGAAAAGGAAGAGAAAGGGGAAAAGTAGAAAATAAAACATGAAAGATGAGGAAAGCAATGGCAGCGAGAACTGTCTTTGAAAGAAAGCAGAAAGAAAGAAACAAAGGAGGAAGTGAAACATTCTAGGAATGTGGATGATTGTTATGATTGTGTCTAGGTGTCCCCCCAAAGCCTCATGCAGTCATAGGTGGGGTTTTTTCAGAAGTGGTTGAATATAGAGTGTGTGATTGATTCATGGTGCAGTGCTAGGATGAAGGGTGCTAGGATTAAGGGTGAGTGGTTACCAAATCAGTCCACTGATTGGTTTTACCCTGCCCTAATCTTAGTAGCTTGGATACAATATAAGGGACAGAAAAAGGCTTGTCTTGTCCCTTGCTGGCTTGCTTGCTTTGCTACCTTCTGCCTTCCATGAACTGTTTCTCCTCTGCAATGTCTGTCTGCCATGGCACCCTGCCTTGGAGCCAGCCAATTACAGACCAAAGCCTCTACAAACTGTGAACTAAATGAACCTTTTCTCTTTTAACTTCAAGTGTCAGGTATTTTGTCCCAGCAATGAGAGCAAAAATAATTAAGACAATGGAGCAGGGTTGGGAGGGAGGGATCAAGGTCCCACAGGAGGAAAGGGAAAGATGGCCACAAAGCCACGGAGGTATTTGACTCCAGGTTAAGCAAGATGCCTGTGTGGCTAAGAACTGGGACAGAAAGAAAGGGAAAAGAAGAAGTCATAGGAAATGACAGGGTAATAATATCTGCATCACCTTGCCATAGTGCCAACCTGTGCCAAATGTCTTCCATACATTGCTTCACTGACCCTCACAAGGAGAAAACACAGGAAGGAAGGAGACCTCTGAGGGCTTTCTTAGGACAACAGAAAGTCAAGTTCACCATTCAATGTGTGGAAAAAGGAGGCCTGTGGAAAAAGGTTGGAGGGTTTGGATCCTGCTGTAGCGGCTGCAAGGACAGGCCTGGCAGCCTTCTTGGATGACACCAAGGGGCCCGATGCTTGAATATGTGCAAACTGAACCAGGTCAGCCTGGTTTTTCCCAGCTGCTCACTTGATAAGATGTGGCTATTCATTATTAAGTAAGTGTAAAATTACAGATTATCAAAAAAAAATACAGATTATCCACCTGGGTTAGAAATATTAGACAAGTGAGGGGCTTGGCAGAGCTGCCACACAATACATGACACAATCCTGCCTCATGATGGAGCCTTGGAGCCAAGCACTGCAGTTTGTCCCAGCAAGTTAGTGGACTCCCCCAAAGGCAGCCATCATCAAAGTGTCCTGAGGCTGGGAGGAAAATTAGGTGAGATGTTTGTGATGTGCCAAAGATGCTGCCAGGCACGGGTTCAATCACAGCCCATTTCCTTCCATCCTTTCCCTTGGGCCACGACCCAGCAAAGGAATACACTTTGAGATCTGGTGCTTTGGTGCAACCCAGAGTCTCCTGGAAACTCCCAAAGAATCTGGAGAACTTCCCCACTCTTGTGCACTGTCTCCTTACAAGACAAATCACAAACCTAGTGGCATTTTGAGCCTTAAAACAGTGGCACCCTGGGCATTGTACTGAGCCAATTCACAATCCAGACAAGAGAGATAGACAAGACTGTCCATCTGCACAGTGACATGGACAAGAAGCAGAGACAGACAACTCCTAGGTCTAAATGATGTTGTCCATTCTGGTGCCTGTTTAGGGCTCAGGCAGAGGAGTCTTCAGCCAAGAGCTTCAGGGGCTGACTTGCAAGACCTAAAGCCTGGCTCTCTGTGCTCCTTTAATAATACAGGAAGCCCCATGAATAATAGAGCAGCAACTGCTTCAGGGCAAAGCTAACCAACACCCAGCCCTTGCCCCAAGCTGGCCCAGGGCCTAATCGCAGGACCCTGGAGCTTCCCACAGATTAACTCAGCCCAAGCCAGTGGGGCCTGGGCACGCAAGCTCTTTGCAGAACAGCCAAGCCATGGCTGGGTGTTTAGAAAACGTTGATTCCCCTGCAGTCACCACTTGCATGGTTTTCTTCTTCCCTCCACAGCAACAGCACTGCCAGTGGCAATCCTGGGGCCCAGTGGTGGAAAGTGGGAAGAGGACCTAAATCAGCAAGGGCAGTACTGCTATCACAGAGTAAAGGATGCAGACCAGGCCCCCTTGAGATAATAGTCAGGTGGAGGAAAAGTACATAAACTAAAGATCTGAGTTGAGCTGACTGTGTCACCGTAAGCAAATATAATGGGTGAAACTGTGCCCTCCAAAAGGACATATGTCTGAATCCTTACCCCGGTTCCTATGAATGTGACCTTCCTTGGAAGGAATCAAGGTAAGGATAAAAGGATGAGATCATTCTGCATTCTGAGAGACCCCTAAGCTCAAGGACTTGGGTTCTCATAAGAGAGTGGAGAGGGGGATAAAAGACAAGGAGAATGAGATGTGAGATTGAGGCAGAGACAAGAGCAAATCTCTCCCAAACCAAAGAACACTGCCAGCCACCAGAAGCTGGGAGAGGCAAGGAAAGATGCTTTCCTAGGACCTTTAAGGCGGCCATGCTGACATCCTGATCTCAGACTTCTGGCCTCCAGAACAGGGGAAGATCATTTTCTGTTGTGTTTAGCCACCAAATTTGTGATAATTTGTTAAGGGAGCCCTAGGAAACTGCAAGCAACTTAATTCTCCAGGGTTCCATAAAATGGGGATGACTGCATTTGACATTCCTTCTTCATCAAGTGATTGAGAGAATTAGCAATAATCCACATTGAATGATTTGTGAGTTAAAAGGGGGCCTTAAAGAAGCCAGAAATTATTATTATTATAGTAATACTGCTATTAACATGATTGTTTAGTGACTTCTCTGAGAGCTTTCAAAGGGGTCACAGCCAAGACAGAGAAGGAAAGTGCCAGGGTCAGCCCAAACCCATCTGAGACTGAGTTAATATTTTACCAAGTTGATTAAATTTGAAAATTATATCAGAAGTAATTATCATTTTGCTTTAAGAAAATGAAATATTCCAATCTATTTTAATCATGTCTGTTCTGTGCGTGCAGAGTATTAAGGGAACCCTGGTTGAGATGCATTAATGGTCCTTAGGGTATTTCCAGAGGGTTTCTATGCTGTGGGCTAAAGTCCTCTGGTGCCTCTTGCATTGCAAAATGGTGTCATGGGATTCAGAATCCAAGGTTCCTTTCTTCCTGATTTGTTCTTTACCTCTCCAATTCTTGCTCTGATTTTTAGACAGACAGTTCCAGTCTTCTTGTCGAGGAAAAAAAGAAAATCTTGCCATGACCAGAAACTTTTGAGATTACTTTTCAATGCCAAGCCAGATTCCTTCAAATATGTGCTGTGGAAACAGTACTGGCTACTCCAGAGCAAGTCTTGAAAGGTGCTCCTAGTTTGTTCAGTGAGAGGAATACCACCTGGACTGACAGGAGGCTGTGAACCAGGTACTTGCTGAGACATCCCCTCTCTCACAAAAGTAAATGACAGAAAGTAAAGGATGGGTGTTGGCATATGGCAAGGCTCTGAGATGGCTACCTTATTTTTTTAAACCTATGATTCCATTCAGGAGAGCTGTCATCTTGTCTTCTAGAAGGAGAGGCAGACTATTATAGGGTGCATTGGTGGGTTGGGTAAGGGAAAGAGCATGTTCATTGGAAACAGTAGACCTGTATGATGATAATGCCAAATATCATAATGCTAATCCTCAGACTTGCCATTTACCAGCCATGTGAATATGGTCTAGGTGTTTAACTTAGACATGCCTCAAATCCTTCATTTGTAAAACTGGTTATAATGATGCCTCCCTATGGAACTATTCCAAGAATGAGAGAGGTCCTTGTACACATTAGGTACTCAATATGTACCTCTTCCTTTTCGTATCCTACTGGAAATGCAATAGACACTGAGACCTTCTAATGGGGAGTCTCAACAGCATCAATTCTGATATCAAGAATACAGTATCTAGTGGAGAAGAGCTGTTTGAAGGTATAGCAGAGATCCTCGATGATGGAAGGAAATGTGCTAAGAAAGTAACAAATACCCTATTTACCCTTCTGTTCCTGGAGATAGTCACTAGAAACCTCATACTTCTGGCTTATGATTTTCCTGGCTGCTACTGCATGCTGAACTCTCTCTTCTCCCAGGTCCAAATTCTTTCTTTCTGAAAATACCCATTCCATTCCCATACACTCCAGCCAACAGGCAGACCCTGGCAATCTAGATGGCTCATGGAAGAGGGCACCATGTGGACTAATTAAGAGTCAGACAAGAAAATACTACCCCCTTTTCCATTTGCCAGGAACTGAGATTGTTTGGATTTTCATCATAGCCATAGCTAAAAGCCAATGCATGGCCTCTCCAGCCAGAAGATAAATTTTCCACTCTCAACATTCAACGCTTTCAACATTAAAAAAAAAACTTCTATAGGGCAACTGCTCCTTAGAGGGGGGCTTCCTTATTCTCCAATATAATCTTTTCTTATTTAACAATATGACAGAAATAAAATACTCTATGGACATGATGGCACTCATGTGCTGACTCACACTGGAAGGAATGTCTTCATTCTTCTATAAGTTACATCTAGCTCATCGGTGTATTGATCCCAGGCAAAGATGAATGCAGAATCCCATGATCCTCTGGGAGAAATCTGACATTTTCTTTAAATATACATCCACAGAACAACTGTTTCTAAATCTCTACGAAACAGGTCACCAGGGCAGCACATCACTGATTTCACATCCAATGATTTCTTAGAAGAAACACTGAAGATTTTCTCAATAATTCAGCTAACGGCAGACCCCAGATATTCCCTGAAGGGACACTGTCCCTGGCCTCCCTAGATGAAGTGGCAGCATCCCAGGAGAAGGAGATACTAGCCTGCCAAGAAAGAGAAGTCCCTGGGGCCACCGATTGGTTCAAGAATAACTTAGGAAAGAACCAGCTACGCAATTTTGGAATGTTATTGTAGAATAGACCCTTGCATTGAGGAAAGATTAAAAATAGTTGTGAGACAGTTGAATGTAGTGGTCAAGGTTTTCAATCTATGTACTACCATTTAAAGGGTGTCCTTAAAGAAGATACTTAACCTTGCTAAACATTTCAGTGTCCTTGAGGGTGAATTGATAGTAATAATTCCTACCTTACAGAATTGTCATAAGGATTAAATTAAATAACACACATAATTTAATAGATTACCTGTAACACTGCTTGGCACAGAGGAAGAGCTCAGAAATCAGTGTAATAATTATAGCGGTCATATTAATTTACCTCTAACATCTTTTCCACTTACAAAGATGTGGATGAATACAACACAAAAATTGTAACAGTCTGACATTTAGATTCCTGTACTATAGTCTATTTTTGGTGTTTTATAAACAAATATATATACATCTTTTTTACAATATATAAACAAATACACACACACACACACACACACACACATTTACCTTTTTCCCAGCTTGGGTAGGAGTTTTTATAGGTGTCTACCTGGATCTCAGCCATAAGTGACTAAGAACTCTGATGGCAATGCCTGTGGTACCCATACCAGAGTAGTACCCTCGTGGGAGGGCCACAATCTTAAGAATGGAAATCAACCCACAGCAGTATTGTCCTAAAATCCCAACACTTTGGAAGAGACATCCTTTGTCCATCCTATCCCTGGAGTGGCCTTTTGATACATTCTATGGGCACTTAGGTCCATGTGGATAAGGACAGTATACAAAGTTGTCACGGGGTGATAAGCTATTGGGACACTGGATGTAAATACTCCTCTTCCTACCAGCTGGTCCAAACACAAAAGATCATGACTAAGGTCTTTCTAGGTGAAAGGCCAAAAGCCTAGGCAGAGGTCCAAGGTTGTTATTTCTTGGTAAAAAGATGACAATACAGTAATCTGCATTCGGTGAATCTGATTCTGAGCCACCAAGTAAAAAGGAACACATGTGTAGCATCTCTGAAAGTCTGACTTCTTCACTTCATCTATGCCTCAATTTCTTTTCAACTTATTCCTTGATTTATTTCCTCAACATAATATGCTGTCCTTCATGCACAGAGATGGCCGAATGACTCATACATCAACATGAGTTATTTTTTCCAGCAGTGGTCATGAATTCTATTCATCCAGACAATATTTGTTTGCATAAAATGGCTGGCCAGGGTAGGGGTGCATTCATTAGCCTTGGAATACAGCAAGGCTAAGCAGTTCCCATGCAGATTAAATCAGTGTACCTCGCCTCCCACCAGCTACCAGGAAGCCTAAACTCAAGCCAAAATAGCTGACTGGAGGTCACGAGTGGTGAAAAAGACAATCTGAAACCATAGGCCTGGTTTCAAGTCCTGGCTCCACTAGTCCCTAACAATACAATCGTGGCTGAGTTTTGAATGCCTTTCTGGGACTCATAGTTCTCACCCATAAAACCCAGAGATTCTCCCATTACTCTCATGGTGATAAATCTAATGAGAACATAGCTCATAATCTATAGTTACATAACATGGATATCACTTATTATAAATTGATCCATAGTCTTTACTATAAATATTAATACTGTTATTTCTAATTACCTGCAAATCACAAAACTAAGCCCTGACAAGAGATGAGATTCTGTCTTCTGACATACAGTGTGCACAGAAAGAGCATCAGAAATCAAACAAAGTATCCCCTCACTGAACATGGTATGCTTGAGGTCATTCAACCCAAGCTTCTCAGTGTACATCCAACCTTCAGGCAGCTCCAAAGATGGCCATTTTTCCCCACCCAACCATTACCACCACTTTACCACCTGCACAGTTGTCAAATCCAAACTTACAATTCCCGAAGACTCAGCGTCTGGAAGAGCTGCCAGGAGAGCGTTGTGAGTCGGTTACTTGATAGGTTTCTGCGAGATTGACAAAGAAAGGGGAGTTAAAGGACAGATCAACCATCAATATTGTTCTCCATAGTGAACCTGGTCATTTCACTGAAGCCTGGCTTTATCTTTCTTCTTCTTTTTTTTTTTCATTTACTCTGCTAACAATGAATCTGTTGATAGTTGAGGCTACAGATCAGGTTTGGAGAGGAGTCAAGTCTTTTTAGGGCACAGTCTTAAAAATCAAGGAAGCAATAAAATCCTCTTGGTTATTCCCCCATGATCTCTCCTCAGGACAGAAGTTCAAGGAGCCTTCTGAAGCTATCCTTCTCTAGGAGGACAGAGATATCTGAGGGTACCTTAACATCCAAACACCCTTAACACTGCATTGGGGAAAACTACAGGTCAGCTACAACTCCTTCTAGCCACCCCTCCCTAGCAAACATGCCCATCCATGAGATCAAGACATCAGCCTTTTATTCACATGTCTGTTCTTCTCCTAATGGCTATTTAATTGTTTTCATTAGGATATACAGGGGAAAGGAGCAGCCATCAGTCTCCCGAATACAAGAAGAAACACACCCACGGTTATTACTTTCCCAGCCTCAACAAACAACTTTTGATGGGATGACAGCTCTTAAAGGCAGCAGTTAGTCACTGGCAGAAGTGGCACCTCAGGAACAATGTTCTCATCTGCTAATGGGAATGGGCATGGGTGGTAGGCTGACACCATTTAGGTAAAAGTCTGACAACACACATCAGCGTGTGTGTGCTCATATCTATTAAACAGGTAGGTAATAAATGCAAACACAAACTTTTGTTTATGCTCACACATATGCTTACACATGCACCTATATTTAGATGGCTTCTAGAGAAGATATGAATTGAAAGTGGAATTGAAGGCTACACTGAGAAGTGATGGGGCAGACCAGGGAGGGGGAAGATAAGGTCCCTCTAGAGCCTTATATTCAAGTTACAAGTGAATAAGCAGGAAGAAGAGTACCAGTTGTGTGCTACATAAGTAACTGATGTGGGAGGAGAAGAAGGTAACTTCAAACAGGTGCTGAGAAAATTGCCTTCTGAGAAGGTAATGTGAGACCAGAGAGAAACTGGAGAACAAGCTGAACAAGTGTCAGGGGGAAGTTTGGGCAGTGGAGGAAGTGAATGCAAAGCCCCAGGTGGAATCCAAGCCAAGAAGGGGACCAGCCAGGAAGGAGCACAGGGCAGAGCTTTGGGATAAGTGGGAGAGGGATTTGTGCTGCACTCAGGGATTTGTGCTGCTGAAAGAAGACTGGATTTTATTTTAAAGAGTGATGGGAAGGCACTGGGTGGTTTTCAATGGGGAAGTGGCATGATCTAATTACCATATTTTTAAATGGAAGAATAGCACCAGAAGGTGGCAGGCCAATTAGGTGGCTGCAACAGTGTTCCAAAGGGAAGGGTGGGTGAATCGAATATAAGTGTTAGAAATGAAGCTGCCAGAACTGAATGAGATCTGAGAGAGAAGGGTGAGGAAATCAAGGGACCAGGTGAGTGGTAAAGCCACCTAATGAGAAAAGGAAGACTCCCAAAAGACCACACTGAGGCCATGAAGGAAACCAAACATCTTGTTGAGTAGATGGGACTGAAGTTCACCTAGGGAGAGAGTATACTCAGCTCATAGCAAGAACAGATAATCAAATACAAGAGCAATCTATGGGGCAGAATATCCCCTTCACACACTTAACTTGCCTAGTCTGTCCATGGCAAGATGGTTGGCCCCTACATTAGCTTGAACTGGATAGGCTCTGGCTAGCCTGTGATGGCTCCAAGAACTAACCCGCTTCTCTGCAGGGCCAAACACCCTGGTGTGACATATGTGCTCACTAAAGCTATAAACTTAAACCAGCCATCATGCTCTGCTTCCCAGAACCCCTGGTGACCACATTCCTGTAAACTTCCTGCAAACTTGTCATTCCTGCAAACTTCTACTATCACCACTGATCAGAGGGAAAGGGTTATAGAAGCACTATACTGATGACCCATGAAGGACATCACTGGACAAGCTACCTGCAGCAGTCCCTCTTCTACTTTGAGGGGTTGTACAGAGGGCTCAGCACATGCCTCTCAGTCACTGCCCCTCCCTAGCTACTAGACTGGCAGCCCAGAACTTGGGGTCAAGGACAACAGATTTCAATATCACTCTCTGAGCCTCTGTTGCTATCAGCCTTTAAGATGTGTTAATCAATCTGAGATTTGAATCATCCAGGTGGCAATTATTTTCTCTGTTATTTCTGATTTGCTGTTTATGTATAGCTGCATTATTGGACAAGCCCCAGATCTACAAAGGAATCCTGTCAGAACTTTGGAAAGACAGCTTACCTCTGCCTTTAACTCCCTTGAACAAAACCCCTGGTCTAAAGCTGAACAGTAGCATCCTACAGGTACTCCACAGCCCAAAACCCCAGGTGCAAAGGATCCTGGGGCACAGCCCCTGGTAAGACACAAAAGCAATGGGAGGGGGTTGACAGAAGCTGTCCCAGTGACACAAAGGAGGGAGGAGCAGCAGGGAGCCCCAGGCAGAGAGCAGGCTGCCAGCAATGTCCTCTCCCAAAGGTCATGCTTTGCTACATTAGGCAGAAATGTCAAGAGAAAATTGGATTCTGAAAGAAAGAAAATAACAAGCATTCTGGGCAAATAAAGAATAAGAAATAGCATCATCTCCTCCTTATTACAAGTTAAAGGAGATGGAGGTAGTATACCTGGTAAAAGGGAGAGGCTTTCCCCAGGGTGGCTTCATCTCCCACTCATTTCATCCTCCTTCCTCCCACCAAGCTCTAGCTGAAGGAGAAAGGTCCCTCAGTTCCTTCAGCTCTTGGAGTCCAAATGAAGTGGTCACTACTGCACTCTGTCCTCTGTACACACACACACACACACATACACACACACACTCAGGGACATTACTGCACAAATTCAGAGGGGAATACAGTGTGTGCAACCTGTGCAGCTGTACACAGTGCCTTGCCAGAGATACACAACAGAAACACCCAGCCCCAGGAACAAACATGTACGGAAAAGACAAGGAGTAAGGCAAATATGCACCCCCACAAAACCACCAGGGTACACCTCTGGCCATCCTGCCCTTTGACACATTTACATATTTTCATGATGCAGGATAAATGGGGAAGCTGAGTCACAGGGCTTTAATAAACCCATTTGGAATTCACTGCCCCAATTTCCCTTCCAGCTGGTGCCTCACCTGCCTTCAGCTGTCATTGGTTATTGATGAACTGGTTACCCTGCTCATCAGACAAGCATTTAATTAAGAGCCATCCTGCCTCTGCACCCCATGGAAGCCTCCTGACCATTATCACCCATCTCTGATTTTTGCTTGGGTCATTGGCCAGTGTCCAGGCCACCTGACCACTGAATTAATTTGATGAGCAAGATTTTATGAGACGATACATCAACCTCTCTCCCAAAATCAAGCTCCATGACATTGCCCCTTCCATCTCTCTTCTGAGACTCCCAAACAAAGCCATTAATTTTGTCCTGCACAAAATGGCTCTCTCACAGCCAGACTCAGGGGTCCAGAGGTAATAAACAATGATGATGTGGCTACAGGGTGCTCTGGGAACAAGGAGCCAGACTCACATATGGCCAAACTCCAGGCCTTGAGGAGTGATGAGGTTGAGACAGCACATCCTGCATTAATCCTGCTGTGAAAAGGGATCCTCAGGCAACCTACTTCAGACTGGGAGAAAGCTCTGTAGGGAGAGCAGCCCCATGACATTCCTAAGGGAGGCACTGACTACAGCAGGAACACAGAGCACTATGATTGGGAAGATGTCACTCTTTATCCCAGGAGCCGTATTGCCCTAAAGCAGGGTCAGTGAAATGTGCTCTGTTACCAAGAGAAACCAAACAAATGAGCTCTTCTCTTGCCCTAAACATATTACACCTTCTGGGAGGTGAGAGTTGAGGAGAGACATTAAGCCCCATCCACACAGTGATCCTGAAGAGGCAAGGCTTTGTGGAGTTCCCAGGTTAAGAGTGGATCCAAATGTGGAAGCGCCTCCTCTATTGGCAGAGGCAGGCCCTGTGGGCAGGAATATCTGACGATCTGAGTACATAAGGAGTTGTTTGGGGCAGGTGCCCAGCACAGCTGTCTAGTAGGCCAGACTGACCAACCCATCCATGTACTGTTCAGCCAGCACCCTACCTGTTCACATCAGCACTACTGACTCTTTTAGCTATCTCCACCCCCGCTCCTGGATGCTCACACCACCTTTGCCTCTCCTTGGCCCTTATGCTTGGGTTTTGTCTTGTGTTTTCATGGGCTACATTGTGTCCTCCTCCAAGATTGATAGGTTGAAATCCTAACCTCGGGTACCTCAGAATGTTACTGTACTTGGAGATACGGCCTTTAAAGAGGTGATTAACATTAAATGAGGTCATGAGGGTGGGCCATAATCTAATCTGACCAGTGTCCTTTTCAGAAGAGGAGCTTTGGGCACAGAGGGAAACACAGGAAGAAACAGCCATGCACAGGGCAAGGAGAGAAGCCTCAAAAGAACCAAACCTGCTGACACCTTAACCTTGGACTTCTAATTTCCAGAACTGGGAAGAAATGAATACCTATTATTGAAGCCACTCAGTCTGTGGCAGTTACGGCAGCCCGAGCAAACAAACACACCCATTCTCAGGCCTTCCTTTGCCCCAAGCCCTGGCAGCCAAGTAGACTGTCCCACTGTGACCCCCAAAAGACTCCAGGCCATGGCTTCCTGTCAGTCATCCCCTCACTCTGTCTATGCATGGTCACTCTAGAGAACAAGGTTTCCACTCAAGTTCCAGCTGCTATGATCCAACCTGAACCTGTCCACTGTACAGCCCCTGGGTATGCTCCAGCCTCCTCCTGCAAAGAACTATCGAAAGAGAAAGCAGAGAACTAGGAGTGTTCTTGGCTTCACCCAAAGATGAATGTCACTGCACTGGCTTCTCCTGGAGGGTTATCTCTGCAGCTGCTGAAGGCCACTGTTCCTCCTTCTCCT